TATTTCCTGCAACTTCCTTTTTCCCTTGCCGAGTCCTGCACGAACATCTCTTCTGTCAGCGCATGTGGATCTTTCCAGCCTTTTACATGGCTCCCAAAGCATTCTTACTCCCTAAGAATTCACCTCCACAAACCTCTTGTGAGAACACCAGCCAGTGGCTGAGGGCGCTTCCTAGTACAGTGTAACCTCATCTTAACTGGATTCCAGCCACAAGGACCCTGTTTCCAAATAAGGTCACACGCACGGAGACTGGGGGTTGGGGGACACAATTAAACCCCTAGCAGCATCCCAGTTTGGGTTCTTCCAGGAGTAGGCAAGACTTCAAGCACAGGTTGTTTATTCGGGAGGTGCAGGGGACTGGGGTGTGAGCGCAGAGGTGAAGGCAGACCTGCACGCAGAGTGTTCAGGGGACACCGCAGGGGACTGGGGTGTGAGCACAGAGGTGAAGGTAGACCGGCATGCAGAGTGTTCTTCATGCAGTTGCCCCAGTGCGTGATGAGAGCTTGCTCCTGCAGGGAAATGGGAAAATGGTGCAAAGCCCATGCCTTGGAATACTCTGCCCGAGGGGCGAGGGAGCAGGAGTGCTCGCAGGCCACCTCCTGAGAGGTGTATGCTCCTCTCCACATGAGGTCTGAGAATTATATGCTCCTCACGGCATGAGGCCTGCCGCATTGGGTACTGGCACAGCGGCCCGGTGTGGTTTGGGGAAAAGCCCTCAAGCCCAGATGTCGCTGGAAATGGGCCAGAGCCTGGCACTCAATGAATAGCCAGGCACCAGCAACATCAGCCTCCTGATAGAAATGCAGAGTCCCAGGCTTCACCCCAGACCTGCAGAATCAGAATCTGCATTTCAGTGACATCTGCATACTGGGTGTGCATGTGGCAGCTTGACAAGCACTGAGCCGGCATCGACTGGGAAGCCAAGTAAGGGGTCGGGACACGGTAGGCACGCTCAGAGCCGGCGTTCTAGCCAGACCTCCAGGCCCCCAGTACTCCCCACCCAGCTACTCTCCTTCAGATGCAGTGGCCAGGAAAGTCCTCCAGCAGGACAGAGTCAGGATGGCACTAACCCACCAGGAAGGCAGACTTTGTGGTTGAAAGGATTGCCTGGCAAAGAACAAAGAAGGATGAAACTAAAGCAAGGTAGTCCATGACTCCCCAAAGTCAGAGACAGAAGCACTGGGGGCCCATAGCACACAGACCAGAGTGGACCAGGGTTCTGGTTGCATCATGGTCAGGACTCTGCACGTAGCAGGGCCACTGGTTCAGAGTCAGCAGTGGCCAGCCTCCTTGAAGAACAGCTGCTCATTTCTGCACTCACCACAGCTTTCTGGAGGTCTCCCAGCCCTGCTGATGGAGAAACAACAGGCTTGCTTCCTGTTCAGTTCCAGTAGGCATGTACAGTCCCAAGAAAGACCTGTCCTGGAGCCAGTGACCACAAGGAGCCAAGGAACAGCCCTGCTCGTCTTATCTCCTCCCAGCCTCTACCTTGACCATGACTCCATTCCTACCCACTGTCCAAGTGGTCAGTCAGGCTACACACTCTGCTGGGAGCTGGGGAGCCATTGAAGTTTATTGAGTAGAGGAAGCACTATGATGAAAGTGCTCTAGGCTGCAAGAGTTGGCAACCAGGATGGTTGAGAGTGGGAGACGGCAGGGAACAATCATAGAACTGCTTATCTGGGAAAGTGTTCCATCATTTCATGTAAGTATTCTTCAAGCCCTGGCTTAGGAAAACAGGCAGAAAGATCTCCCTCTAGCCACGTGAAATGCCAGGCATCTCTTAAAGCCCGTGGCAATTTTCCATTGAAAAGCAAGCTGGCCTTTAATGACAGGAAAAATAGCTCACTTTTTCATGTTCCATCGATATCACGTTACATTATCAGGTCATAACTCCACTTCTCAAATAGTGTGTGCCTATGCATTCTGTGTGCCAGGGGCTGCCCTCACAGGGGATGCTGGACAAGACATAGTCCCTTCCCCCACAGAGCTCACAGTCTAGAGAAGGATCCAGACAAGTCCCCAGGCACGCACAAGGCAAGTAATTAAGGAAATCGTGAGGACAGGGAGCTATGGGCACACTGGAAACTGGAAGGCTCCAACCCAGACTGAAAGGGTCAGGGAAGGCAACATTCAAGTGAACAAGGCCTGAGAGACCAGCAGGCGTTGACTCAGCTAAAGAAGAGGGAGGAGAGAATTCCAGGCAGCCAGGCAGCATGTGCCAAGGTCCTGAGGGTGCGGGTGCATCTGAAGAAATTCAACAAGAGATTCCTTGTTGATGACTGAGGATGGAAATACTGGGGTGGAGGAGAAGACTAATGAGATGAGCACATCCATAAAATATGCATGCAGTGGGATTTCATTTTGTAAACTCACAGTTACATTCACACATACACAGAGAAAGACAGCAGAAGAAAAAATACCAGAATGCTCAGAGATGCTCTCTGGGTAATGCAACTACAAATGACTTGGTCTTCTTCATTCTATTCTGTAATAATCAAATTTCCTACAATAAAAATTGTAGCAGTTACCTATGGCTCATAAAATGCTACACGAGAAACAACCACAATATCTTAGCAGCATGCTAATCCAGGTTGGGCTGAGCTGGTACGGCTCATCCTGCCCCTGGGGTCAGTCGGCTAACCTGAGCATGTTCCTCTCATGGTGACAGCAGAGACACATGGGAGCAGCATGCGAGGACCCTTAAGGCCTGGGCTTGGAACCAGCATGCCATTGCTTCTACCGCATTCTATTGACCAAGGCAAGTTACACGATGAGCTCAAAGTTAAGACGTGGGGAAATACATTCTGTCCCTGTGGTGCTGGGGAACTGCAATGTCTTATAACAAAGGTAGTGGATCTGGGGAGTGGTGAGGAATTTCAGCCAATGTTGTAGTCAGCGTGAGCATTGCAGGAATGTTATTGGAGAGGAAGGGCGGGGAGGAGGTGTGGGAACTGGAAATCAAGCTCCTGTCAATGTCCTCGAGAGACAAGTGAAACACAGTAGTGTGTTGAGTTAGACATGTTAACCACCCAGGATGAAGAAGGCACATCTAGATCCACATCCACATCCTAAGAGCTCAGGGGCATGGGAGGAGAAGGCAGAGAGAAACCAAAAGCCAGCTCTCCATTTGGGGAGAAATGGACATCACTGTTGCCTCAGTTTAACCATCTCCGAAATGGGGATGGAAGAGCCTCTGACGTGCTATTTATGAGTGCTCAGAACAGCACCTGGCATGTAACACACACAACACAAGTAATTTTTAAATATAAATAAAGCATGCATGGGACAGTAGGCTTCTTCAGTTCCTCCCTTCGAATTGGCCCTGTCTGCAGAGAGATGGTAGCCCCCACCCAGCCTGCAGCCCTCTGCACACCCCTTTACCTAGTGTCTTGCACACTGCTTCTCTCTTTCCGTGAAATAAATACAACACTTCCCTCCGGCAAAAGAGAAATAAAAGCAGTTCCTTAATGCATAAGAAGAAAGTATGGAAGAAATTCCAGTTTGATGGTCTACAGGTATGTTTGTTTGGACTGGCGCATATAAATCAGTGCCTGGCTTACATCAGATTATCACAGCAGAGTGGGCTCTGAGCTGATTGCACCTTTACAATCTGTTTACGAGGAGGGCTGAAGTGAGGCGTTCTGGAAGAGGCTGCTGCATAAGCCTTTAAAAGTTTTCATAATTGCTCAGCTTGGACCGTTCTGCACTAGCAGACACAGCCCCATGGAGTAACTGAGGATGTGATCCCTTCTTCCCGCTCCCAGCCACCCCTGAGCCCCGAGTGTTGCCCCAGCACCACCCAGGGATGGTCCCTGGGAACACCGGAGGATCTTTCCCTCGGCTGCTTTTCCCTGGGGATATATAAATGTGTCTGAGAGTTTACAAGACACACTTACATGCGCAGTCATCTTCCGTGTCCCGGTTACCTCTTACGGCTCAGTCCCCTCCCCATACATCATTCCAGAAGGTACTTCTTTCTTTGCTACATCCTCAGGACCTTTGGACATGCTGTTGCTTCTGCCTGGAGCACGGTCCACCTTTCACAGCCTAGGAGATAGATGGAAGCTGAGCTGATTCCCGCCCATCTCCCAGGCTGAATGTTGTCTTCCCTGATGCTGGGATGGGGGCTGGTGTGGGCTGCATCGTGCCCCTTCAACATAGGTTGAAGTCTTAACTCCTGGCAGCTCAGAACATGGCCTTATTTGGAAATAGGGTCATTGCAGATGTAATGTTGGGTGAAGAGGAGGTTGCACTAGAATGGAGTGGTCTGTGATCTAATATGACTGTGTCCTTACAGAAAGGGGAGATTTGGACACAGACATGCACACAGGGAGAAGGCCACTTGAAGATGAAGGCAGAGGTTGGGGTGACACTTCCATAAGCCTGGAATGCAAAAATCACCAGCAACCACCAGAAGCCAGGGAAGGGGCCTGGAATGGTCCTCACCCACCCCACCCCCCTTCCCCCACTGCAGCCTCAGGAGGAGCCAGCCCTGCTGACACCTGGGTCTGGAACTTCTGGCCTCCAGGATGTGAGACAATGAATTCCTACTGTCGAAGCTGCCCAGTCGGTGGCACTTGGTTAAGGTAGCTCCAGGAAACAAGCACAGGGGCACTCCTTGGTGCCCTGTCCCTCCCTTGCGCCAGCTTGGGACCCCGCTCCTCATGGATGGGCATTGGCCTCCGCTGGCACCAGAGAGTCAGAAGAAGTGGCTGGAATGGTGGGTGGAAGACAAAGCTGAGGGCATGCTGCATGCCGGAGCATGGGAGGGAGCTAGGGGTGCTCCTGGGAAGAAATGGCCTGGGCTCAAAAGTAATCCTGTGTAAGTGTGTAGATGTGCTGCTAGAGTGTTTCTCAAGGCTCGGTTATGAAGATCAGAGGTCTCACACTTAAATCTCCATGGGCAAATAACTTGGGTTGGAATAGGTTTGCCTGAAGGAAATGTATTCAGCCGGGGGCTGATTAGTAAGAATGGTTATGTATGGAAGTGCACTCACCGAGTTCTCAGACTCAATTATGTAGAACAGGGTCTCAGCGTCGTACAGGGACAAAGGGCAGCCGAGGTCAACAAGGGAAAAGAGTCCGTTCTTGGCTCTGGGGCATTTCGGGAGTAAAGTCCAGTGTGGCTGGATTTTCTGGTGTTTTAAAACAAACAACCAAAATGAAACTGGGTATCTAGACGTTTAGGTGCCATTTTCATATTTTTGAATATTGACACTTAATTTTTTAAAATTTATTACGGCACTGTGTGGAGCCATGAAACTACAGGTCTGTGACCTCTGGGAGGGCAGCAAGGTTCAGCTGAGTGGCTTCTGGGGCAACCCTGGCTCTGGGTTCCTCCTGGAGCTCAGTAACATGGAGATATCACCACACACACACATTGAGGGGTTCTTTATGTACGAGGGATACCTGTGGTATCAGCTGCTTTCTCCACTGGGGTTTCATGCTCTGCAGTGGTAATCACTGTATCTTTTTTTCTTTTCTTTTCTCTCTTGGTCTCCCTCTCTCTCTCTTTTTCTCTCCCTCCTCACTCATGTATTTGCAGGGAGTAATGAAGCTCTGGAGACAGTCAGAGCAGAGACCTCAAAAGTGTGGGGCTCAGAGCCGGGGTGCCAGTCATCGCTGTCCCAAGCATGACTGAGGGTCTCAGGGATGACTGAGGGAGAGGGAGGGAGATTATTTAAGCCCCTCTTCTGGGCTTTTAGTTCTTTTTATTCGTAATTTTTAAGTCATGTGATATACATGCAGAAAAGTGCATATATGATCTGCTCGATGCATTTGTACAAACCAAGCAAACCTGTGAAGCCAGTGCCCAGACCAAGAAACAGAATGTGACCAGCATCCTAGGAGATGTGCATATCAGCCCACGTGATCCACGCAGTGCTGACCACACGGGGTATTTCTCCCACTTCACAGACGAAGAAACTGAGGCTCAGGGCAGGGAAGGATCCTTTGAACCCCTTCTCACCATTACCTACCCTCGAGATAAAGCACAACCTGACCTCTAACACCATCAACCAGCTTTGCCTGTTTTGTAATTTAAATAAATGGACTCATACGGTGTAGGGTCTCTCATGTCTGGCTTCTTTCCCGCAACACGTTGTGTAAGGGACTCATTCGCGTTGCACGCAGGTGTAGACCATTTGTTCTTAATACTAACACAATCCATTTGCATGAACATTTGATTTATCTGTTCTGCTGTGAATGGTGTTTGGTTTATTTTGAATGCCGGGGCTGTGAACAAGCAGTGCTGCTCTGAACATTCTAGTGTGTGACTTTCGATGAACATATGTAGGCATTTGTGTTGGGTGCACACTGGGAAGTGGAATTGCTGGGGTGCAGAATCTGTGCCCATGTAGCCTTGTTGGGTGCTGCCATAGTTTGTCAAGCTTGTAGCAGTACCCTCTGCCACCACCCCAGCTTGGTGGGGGCAGGGGTGCTCCCCTGTGAGCCTTGTTGATGCCTTCTTTATCACGGTCGTCAAGGCAACAGAATCTCCAGCCCAGACCTCAGTATGCAGGTGCATGAGCAGCACCCCCAGCAGTGCTGACAACACCCCACTGTTCAGCACAAGCATTGGGGCCCAGCCTTGTTATTCTCATGCCTGAAGCCTGGAACAACAGAACTTATTTCTTCAGGTTTCATATATTGGGAGCTGAAATCCAAAGGAAAGTCCAGCGTTGGAGGAAGTGCAATTGTTTGGAGAAACAATTTGCTCAAGGAAAGACCATTTTCCTTCACCAGCATCCTAAAAGGGGCAGCCCCATGGGTAGAGGGCCGCTTGTGTGGGTGCCACAATCCCCAGGTGATGTGGTGTTAAATCATAATGACTTACGGAGTGCCTTCCTCTTTTCCTGGCACAGTCTCTCCTGTGGACGAGAGCAAGCCACAGGTACGTGCTGATGGGTCTGCAACAGTTGACACTTGCTAACTTCCTTTTTGCAGCAAGAGCCAGATCTGGAGCTCCAGCAGGCATCTGCATCAGCTCTCATGTCATGTGCCCTGTGACATTTATTCCTGAAAGTTACCTGTCTGCATGTGGCAAGCGTTACTGGTGTGCCACGTGCAAAATTCATTTGAAATGTCTCTTTAGGATCAGTCTGCTTAGATTTAAACTAAAGTATCAGTAGAGATACTTTTGAACAGTGATAGGCAGAGCACTGGAGTTTCGGAAGCACTGCCGCAGGGGCGTGAGGGCTGGCCCACGGGTCAGGTGAAAGGGGGGCTCTTGCACCTGGTTTTCTGGGCAAGGACACTGAGCCAAGTGACTGGCCCTAGCGTGAGGCATGGTGCCAAGGGCTGAGTTCAGGTCCACCTGGGAGCACCCCTCTCCTCTGCTGTTAGCTGCTGACCCACCCACCTCATCGCATCTTCCTGACAACATTGCCCATGGATAATCCCACCTGAAATTTGAGTGGAGCCCGCTTTCATAAAGGGAGTGCTATGGAAAAGCTGCTCTTAATGTTTTTTTGTTTTTGTTTTTCTTATTTTTTTGAGACAAAGTCTTCCTCTGTCACCCAGGCTGGAGTGCAATTGGCTCACTGCAGCCTCTGCCACCCAGGTTCAAACAATTCTCCTACCTCAGCCTCCTGAGTAGCTGGAATTAAAGGTACATGCCACCACACCTGGCTAATTTTTGTATTTTTAGTAAAGACAGGGTTTCACTGTGTTGGCCAGGCTGGTCTTGAACTCCTGACCTGGTGATCTGCCCACCTTGGCCTCCTAAAGTGCTAGAATTACAGGCAGGAGCCACCGTGCCTGGCTAATTTTTGTATTTTTAGTAGAAACGGAGTTTCACTATGTTGGTCAGGCTGGTCTCGAACTCCTGACCTCAGGTGACCCACCTGCACCAGCCTCCCAAAGTGCTGGGATTACAGGCGTGAGCCACCGCGCCCGGCCTAATGCTGTTTTGTTTTGTTCTGAGATGCCATTTATTCTCTGGCTACAAAAGCCTGTGTCGGAGACGCTCAGTGGGTTCCTGAAGACACAGACTTTAGAAGCCCCTTGAAGGACAAGTTATAGCTACAGACCTGGACTCTGGGGACACAGGCTCCTCCAGGACTAAGGGCTGCTTGTAGCCATGGTCGCTAACAGGGGTGAAATGGTTCCTGCCTGCCCGGAGCTTTGTCTTCATCAGCTCATCCAATCCGCACGGCACTGCGCTGTGCTTCTCCCATTTCGCAGATGAGGAAACTGAGACTCGGAGCAGAGAAGGATCTTCTCCAGGACCACACAGCTAGCACGTGATAGATGTAGAATGGAAAACCAGGTCGGTCTGATGTAAAATCACACGCATGTACGTGTGCCCAAACACACGTGAACACAGGTACACATGCAGCCTCTTGATCATGTGTGGGAATTTTGTTTTCCGACCAGTAAAACAGTGATCCGCTTTTATTTTATTTTAATTTCTTTTGATTTTGAGATGGAGTCTCACTCTGTCACCCAGGCTCTAGTGCAGTGGTGTGATCTTGGCTCATTGAAACTTCCACCTCCCAGGTTCAAGTGATTCTCCTGCCTCAGCCTCCCGAGTAGCTGGGATCACAGGTGCCTGCCACCATGCCCAGCTAATTTTTGTGTTTTTAGTAGAGACAGGGTTTCACCATGTTTGCCAGGCTGGTCTTGAACCCCTGACTTCAAGTAATTTGCCCGCCTCAGCCTCCCAAACTGCTGTGATTACAGGTGTGAGCCACCACATCTGGCCAGTGACCTGCTTTTTACTGCAGGCTGGACCCCAGGTCTGCAGGGTTTCTGAAGCTCAGGTGAAACATGGGTGATAGATGATCACTGGCTCTCCTGGCCCGGGGTGTAGTGTCTGCAAACAGGGCAGGCAGCCCACTCACTCGGAGCCCTGGCCACCAGGACCCCTCAGTGGGAGGACAGACCTTAGGAAGGGTAAAAGGACTCTGATCGGCATCTGCAGTGCTGTTAATAAGCTAAATCACGAACTCCCATAGAAAATTGAGTCATCACCTCAAACGGGCAATTCAATAAAGGAAAACATGGAAATCGACAGCATAGAAGAAAACTTTCCCTTCTCACCGGTAATCCAAGTCACACACATAATAAACACAGAAAGGTATTTTTTTTCATTGATTAGTTTGGCAAATACTTTTTTCAATGTTATACCCAATGTTGGAGAGGAGAATAAAAATTGTTACATGTTTTCTAGAGGCCATGAGAGTAATTTATAGATTTTGATCCAGGAACCTTATTTCTAGGAATTTATTAGGGACAGAATCATAAACGTGAACATTGATTTGCATACAAAGATGTTCATTGCAGTAAAAGTCATTGGAAATAACCCAGAGTATTTCTGAGACAATGTCCTCGCTGTTGCTACCTCTATTTATCCATCCTCCCCTTCCCCCATCTTCTGTGTGCTTTGCTTCTAGTGACCTGCACCTGTGACTCTCTTTGAAGTCCTGTTCTTGAACCACAGGGACTGCTTCACTCATAGGTGCAGAGGAGGCTCCTCAGACCTTGTGACCCTCCTCAAGCAGTCCTCCTGCCTTAGCCTCCCAGAATGCTGGGATTACAGGTATGAGCCACCATACCCAGCCTGTCCATTTTCAAAACAATTCTTGGCTTGCTTCACGTCATTGAAATTATTAGTTATCTACACAACATTTATTCTTCCCTTATTTCTTATTAACAGAGCCACATTTTAATGGGCATCTAAAAAACTACATTTCCCAATCTCCCTTGCAAATAGGTATAATCATGTGACACCATTAGAGCCAATTGGCTGTAAGCATCATTACCCCTAGAGTCAAACAGAATCTGTTCATTTGACCTTCACTTATTCCAGTCTTTCTGCCTGGAGCAGGAATGCACTGGTGGAGTTGTAGCCATTGTCTTGACGCCATGAGACAACAATAAAAGAAAGTTAGAGAAAATGGAAAAGATCTAGACTCTGACAGCGTTGTATTGAACCAGTGCTATTAACTGCAACCTGAGGATTTCTCAGCACTCGAGAAAAGAAAACATACCAAGTGTGTTCAAGCCACCAGTTGGTGGGGGTGGAGTGAGGTCGGGGGGTTCTGTTAGTAGCACCCAAATGTGATTCTTTGGTATACTCCATCACATCAAGGGAAGGTTCTGATGGCAAACTTTCCAGAATAGACCCTTTTTTGGGCTTTTGATGCACCCACAAAACCTACTTTCAGAAATGCCATTTTCCCTCTAATCAGACAAAGAATGTTCCAGCTTCCTAGGGACCCACAGGCTATTGGAAGAATTCCATGTCTGTCTCTGTCATCAGCATGCTCCAGCCCCTGCCTGGAAGGGCCTGAAATGACAGCCTTTAACTCACCACGCTGGTGAGGAAACATTCCCTGTCTACCACATCTAATCCCAGCAGGAAGACAAAAACTGGCATTCAACATGGCCTGGGTACTCAGTGTCAGAGAAAAGGAATTTATAGGAAACAGAATCTACCTCTTGCTCAACCCCTAGAATGAAAACTCAGTGCTTAATGAGATTATTACAGCAAATATGCCACAACGGGGACCGGTTACATGAATCTGGATATCTTCCTTCTATGGAAACCTATTCACTTACAATGAGGCCATCAAATACTTAATGCATGTTAAAATGTTCACAATATATTGAGTGGGATGAAGGGTTACAAATAGCCATGCAGAATACAGATTTTAAGTATACACAATATACAGAACAGAAAACAGACAAACAAAAACCTAAAAGGGAGTTGTACTCAACATCTAACAGGCATTTTTCTTTAGCGGGATTATACGTGATACCTACCTTCATTGTTTGTTGCCTGGATAAGAGAAAGAACAATGTGATAAGTAAGGAAGCCCCCTCTGCATTTTGTACTCAGATTAATGGATCTGATTTCAGTTGTAAAGAGGTCAGCTGGGTCCCTGGCAAATTTTATCTTCCACCATTATCCAAATAAAATTGGCTAAATATACTTTTTTTTTTTTTTTTTTTGAGGCGGAGTCTTCACTCTGTCGCCCAGGCTGGAGTGCAGTGGCATCATCTCGGCTCACTGCAAGCTCCGCCTCCCAGGTTCACGCCATTCTCCTGCCTCAGCCTCCCTAGTAGCTGGGACTACAGGCGCCCGCCACCGCGCCCGGCTAATTTTTTGTTTGTATTTTAGTAGAGACGGGGTTTCACCGTGTTAGCCAGGATGGTCTCGATCTCCTGACCTCGTGATCCGCCTGCCTCGGCCTCCCAAAGTGCAGGGATTACAGGCGTGAGCCACCGTGCCCGGCCTAAATATACTTTTAACAACAGGGCTCTTTGGGTACCACATGTCCACCCCCACCCCACCCCACCCACCACCTTTTTTTTCAGAGGGGAAGCCCCCTTTTGCAGAAGGTTTTCATCCTGACACGCTCAGTAAAAACATAACTGGAGTCAGTTGCTTTCTCATCAATCCAACAGGCTCCTCTAAGCCATCCAGAAGAGTGGTTTTTACATCTTCAGCTCAAACCATTAGGGAAGCATTTATACAGCACCAGGTATTTGCTTGCTCTGAGTGGTATCCAGAGAGTCCTCAAGGCTGCTGGCCTGTCTTTGCTCCTGCGGGGAAGAAGACTAACTTCCGAGGAGGAGAGGGAGGACCGAGGGCAAACTCACAACTGTCCTAAGGAGGATCTTTCCAAAAAGTTCCAGAACTATCTGAAAATGATGCCCATGCATCTCAATAAATCAGAGTCTCCTTTAATGAGACTGGCAGCCCTGTGCCTATTTTTAAAAGTTTATGACCCTGATTTGCGAGGAAAACCAGCCAGGCATTGCCCAGAGCTGTGCAGAACGAAGCATTTCTAAGTTTCCATCTCACTCCCGAGAGGCAATCCATCATGATAAGGAGGGGCAGGGAGGGAAGGAGCCAGGCTCCCTGCAGCCTCCCGCCTGGTGTAGCTGTTTAAGTGGCAGGCACCTCAAGCCCAGTCCATTAACCAAAAAAGGGTGCTGTGCCTGAGCTATTTCTAGCTCCCTGCCAGGGCTCAGAGAGGCACAGCCCTGTGGATTCCTGCAAAGTGAAGTGTCCCGTCTGGCATCATCTGACATAGGCTTTCTCCCCCGACACCAAGACCTGGAACAACCTTGTTCAGAGAAACACAAATAGGTGCAAGAACGGCCTTATTGGGTCTCATTACTAGGTTTGAGTCTCCTGTGGCTGCTGTAACCACTACAAACCAAGGGGGCTCAAAACAATAGAAATTTATTCTCTCCCGGTTCTGGAGAGCAGAAGTCTGAAATGAGGGTGTGGGCAGAGCCCTGCTCCCTCTGGACCCCTTTTCCCTCTTCCAGCATCTGTTGGCTGCTGGTGCCCCTTGGCTTGTGGTGCATGGCTTCAGTCTCGGCTCTGTCTTCATGGCGTGCTCTCCTGGTCTTCTCTCTGTGTGTCTCTGATCATCGAGTTTAGTGGCTGCCTGGATAACCTGGGATGATCTCATCTTGAGATTCTTAGACCCTTTATCTGCAAAGACCCTTTATCCAAATAAGGTCAGCTTCACGGGTTCTAGGTTTAGGACATGGACATATCTTTCTAGAAGCTGCCATTCTAGCCACTCTACCTGAGCAGCTGTCCATCTCTTTCCAGGAAGCACTCCAACTCATAATTCCAGGGCATGGCCCAGTGCTCCCAAGTTCAGCCACCCATCCACCCCCAGGTGACACCATCCACACCTCCAGGAACCAGTGGCAGCCTCTCCGCTCTGGCCCTCAGACGTCCTGGGTCCCACAGATTTGCATGAGTCTTAGACCCATTAAGATCAGGGACTCTGAAGTCAGCCTTCATTTCCAGTCCTGGTTCTACCATTTATGTTACGTGGGCCTCAGTTTCTTCCTCTGTAAAGTAGGCATAATCAGAGTGCCTATTCCCTAGGACTATTGTGAGAATATGAAAAGCTGCTATTCGTAAAGGACAGGGCTGGCCCCCACTCAATAAATGCGGCCTTATACTTGAATACTTCCATGTCTTGATTTGCGGTTCTAGATTCTTGACCTTTCAACATCAAGTCTAAGAGAGCCAGCCCGTGCTCCTTGGTGGATCAAAGATGGGTTCATGTTCCAGAGCAACAACATCTCAAACCATTGAAATCCACAGAACTCTTCATTCAAATGTATTTCCAGAACACCTAACACATCAAGCAGATA